TAATTATAGAGCAAAGCCGATTCCCATACTATACTCTGAATGCATTTTTCTTAAGTATTGGAGCTTTTGAAAAATTCTTTGTTAAACATTGCCAAGTATTATATTTCAGTCATGATTATTTTCCCAATTTAAATATGTTTAGATTCTTAGTTTTAAGTGTTTTATTATATAAATGTTCGAGTGTACATCTGTAAATCACGCAAATGGAACCCTCAGATTATGTTCAAAATTAATTAATCCCGACATAAATTTATACACAATTATTTAAACTAAGATTTTTTGCAGGACATAGATTGAAATTGGTGTCAATGTTGACCAGCGTGTTCAGTGATGTGTAACACTGATACCCAAATAACATGCATTGACTTTCTGCTTATTATGCCCAAAGGCGATTGAAACCTCAGGTGTTGACACCATTTTATACAATCCCATTATATATTGTATTAACCGGCCAGGTAAACACAAACAAAAGAAATAAGAAACAAGTCACAATTCCCGATATTTTCAAATGTTTATTTTTTAAATACATGTACTCTTTTAATGACTTGTTCATAAATTAAAAACTAATTCAATAATAAATCCCCAAATAATTGTTCACATTGTTTATGTGTCAGAAGAATGGTAGAATAATTTTATTTCATGGTCATTAAATAAATTGTTAGGTTTTATTTGAGGGTGGTAAAAAATAGCATGGAGTGCTCTTTTTTAAGCATGGTATTAGCTTTTTCAATGAAGAAAAAAAATCCAGTACAGTACGTTCCTCTGAATACATGTACATGTATCTTACTGAAATGACAAGTTTGTTTGTTTTTTGTTTTTGTTTTTTTAAATAGTGCTAATGCAAACTTTGAGTACATATGTAATTTGACAGCATTAATTTATTAAATAGGGCTAAATATTTTTTTTTCAAACACCTGTATTGAAGTTTAATTTAAGGGATAAAAATTATCCCCTGACTTCCCTTTTTAACTACTTTTATTTTCTTAAAATGAATTCTAGACTACAATTGTGTAAATTTACAGACCTCTGAAGACATTTAGTAATTACATGTATAACTATCTCTATTTATTTAATTTTTGTAAGAAATTAATACTTGTTTTTTTTTTTCATATTTGCTTTTATCTTAAACACCTCTCTGCAAAAAGTAAACAAAACAACAACAAGGAGCTGCAAATTCAGAATACACAAGGGGCGGAGCTATCATGTCACTCAGAACCTTTTTCACGCATGAGTGAACAAAGCAGTCCCAGAAAGCAGTCCCAGGGACTGCTGGGACTGCTGGGTCTGCTTTCTAGAGCAGTCCCACAGCAGTCCCAGAGCAGTCCCACAGCGGTCCCAGAGCAGTCCTACAGCAGTCCCAAATCAGTCTGCTTTCTTGGACTGCTCTGGTGTCAGGTTGGGTCTGGTTGGTACTGTACACAGCATAATTCAACAAGAGGCCCAAGGGCCTAAACGGTCACCTGAGTACAATACAACAATTTACAGGATCCATAAACTGACAAATGAAGCTTTGTTGCCCAAAAGCAAGAAAAATAGTATGATTAGCATCAACAAAATAATTGGTCTAGTATCTATCCCCCCCACCCTTATCACTATTACCATGCAGACTATTAACAAAATGTCTATTTTTTAACCCCATATTATTACTTCTCACATTGGTCTCTCTTGGCCTTTGAAGAACATTTAAAAAGATAAGTTATTTTTGTCTCATATTTATTCATCTATTATTTCCAATTTTAAAACTATGAAAGTACTTTTTGTATTATATAATAAATATTCTTGCATAATTCTCTTATTCTATTAAGCTTTCAAATACATTATTTACAGTGATTAATTATCAAAGGTGAATGGCAAAGGGGAATAACTTTGCTCAGCAGAATACAAGTTAATAGAGCCCTGGCCAGGACCAGAACACTTGACTAAATGGTCCAGGTGTTCAAAAATCTGGTAAAAATACCCTTGCATATTAAAACTTATACTCTGTTTGCCTTGAACATCCCCAGAAGCATAGAAGATTTTCAAAGAAATGCATTTTCACTATATTAATAAATAAATAAAGCACCATCCTTACACCAGAACATTTGACCCATTGACCATGAACTCACAATTCTGGAAGAAGCACTCTTGCTCATCATAACTATACACTTGTTTCTTTACTTTATAACCAGAAGTAGAAAAAATATTTTGAAAGAAATTATAATCAATAGACCCCCCCCCCCCTTCACCAGAACCCCTAACCAAGGGGCCATGAATTTCACAATTTTGGAACAGGCATTCTTCCTTATCATAACCATGCAATTCCTCTGTTTGATAAATACCCAGGAGCAGTGAAGAAGATTTTGAAAGAATTTATGCCTTTTCCCTATACAACATGTATAATCAATAAAGCCCAACACCAGAACCCCTGACCCAGGGGCCACAAAATTCATAATTTCCGACGAGGCAGCCATGCTCATCATAACTATGTACTTAGTTTATTTAATATCCAGGAGCAGAGAAGGCTTTCAAGAATTAATGCATTTTTCACTATATAATCAATACAGCCCCATCCTAACACCAGAACCCCTGACCCAGCTGGGGCCAGGAAATTCACAATTTCTGAAAAGGCAGCCATGCTCACCATAACTATGTTCTTAGTTAGTTTATTTAATACCCAGGAGCAGAGAAGATTTTGCAATGAATTAATGTATTTTCAATATATAATCAATAGAGCCCCACCCTAACACCAGAACCCCTGATCCAGGGGCATGAAATTCACAATTTTGGAAGACACAACCATGCTCATCACAGCTATGCACTAAGTTAGTTTATTTAATACCCAGGAGCAGAGAAGAAGATTTTCAAAAAATTAATGCAATTTTACTATATAATCAATAGAGCCCTGCCCTAACACCAGAACCCCTGACCCTGGGGCCATGAAATTTTCAATTTTGGAAGAGGCACTCTTGCTCTTCATAACTATGTACCTAGTTAGTTTATTTGATATCCAGGAGCAGAGAAGAAGATTTTCAAAGAAATAATGCACTTTCACTATATGATCTATATAGCCCCACCCTTAAGCACCAGAACCCCTACCCCTGGGGCTATGAATTTCACAATTTTGGCAGAGGGCTCATCAATGCTTATTACAATCATGCTAACAGTTTGACTGCTTGATGTCCAGGAGTAAAGAAGAAGAATTTTAAAGATTGCATTAATTTTGGTGGTTTCAGCCCCACCCCTCAGGCCCCAGGGGGTAAGGACCATGAAATTCACAATTTTTGTTTCCCTTTACCCATAGATGATATATGCAAAATTTGGTTGAAATTGGTTGAGCAGTTTCAGAGAAGAAGCTGAAAATGTTTAAATGTTAACACAACGCACGACACACACTGCAGGATGACGGACGAAAACAGATAGCAAGAGGTCACCTGAGTGAACCAGGTGACCTAAAAAGGGGCATCACTTGCAAAAATTCATCACATCAAATTTTCTTGCATATAAGGACATTCAATAGAGCCCCTTCCCCAAAAAACACACACACATGAAGCCTTGACCCTGGGTCACAAATTTCACAATTTTGGAAGAGGCACCCTTGTTCTTCATAACCATGCACCTGGTTTATCTACTTTATCTGCTAAATATATGTGGGACTCCAAAGTGTGATGGGACTCCAAAGCCGATGGTCACACCGAAGTCCGATGATCTGCGCCAAACCCCGATGGTTGACACACCAAAGTCCGATGGTGCAGAAAAATAATTATTTTTTACGACATCATAGTACTTCTGCACCAAATTGAGATGCTGCCCCACACCAAGGTAAAATGGTTTAAAATAAATTAAATGAATTTTAAGTATTTAAATGCCAAAGTAATATGGTTTCCCTAAAATACGCAAAAAATATAATTGTAACACTAGCCATAATTTCTTAAGAGGTTGTGAGGCTAACCCTTACCTCTAGGATGGGTGCGAGGCTAACCCTAATCTCTCGGGTGGGTGCGAGGCTGACCCTAATCCCTTGCATGTGTGTGAGGCTACTCTTAATCGGTCGAAAAGTCTGTAACATCATGGATGGGAGGGAAACTAACCCTAATCAGTCAACCCTCTTTCGGGATGCGAGACTAAAACTATTCAATCGAATAGTGTACAAGGATTAACTCTTTTATCTGTCAGGTGGGTGCAACCCATCCTATAATCAGTGTAATTGTGCACAAGGACTAAACCTTATCAGCCAAGTAGTGTGCAAGGACTAATCCTTATAACTCAGGTGTGTACAAACAACAAGTAAAATCAGTCAAATTGTATGCGATGATGCACCCTAAATTATTCGTTTTGAATAACGGACAATGGCGTAGAGAATTGTCGACAAAATATTGTGATGTCATAATGTTATTTGTTTCTCCGCACCATTGGACTTTGGCATGTCAGACCATCACACTTTAGCGCATGTGTATCATAGGAAATGAGCCACTGGACTTTAGCATGACCATTGGACTTTGGCGTCCGTACCCACATCAAACCATCAGGGTTTGGCGCAGACCATCGGACTTCAGCAAGATCATCTGACTTTGGCGTCACCATCAGACTTTGGAGTCCTACATACATACATGTAGATTTTTAAAGAATATTTTGCAGTTTCACTATATGATTATAATAGAGCCTGTCCTAACTCCAATGTCCCTGACCCTGGGGCCATGAATTTCACAATTTTGGTAAAGGGCTATATGCTCAAGAGGGCTCAAGAATTTTTAGTAGAATGCAAAGTGTTTGATATAAGCATCGCAAAGTCTGCCTGCAGCATGTCCATGAGTATAGTAGATTTTAAAATATCTAGTGTATAATATAAGACCAACTGCATACCAACATACCACCATATTCTGTTAACCATGAACTCATACTCATAATAATGCAAACAGTTTGCTTGCTAAATGTCCAAGAGTAAAGAAATAACTACTTCTTGATAAATTAGAATGGTATCTAACATAAATGGTTTAAATTACTGCAATTATAGAGATACCTACCAGCTCCTTTAGCTCCTGAGTCATCCTTATCAAGCTCCTCAAGAATTTCACTATATCCTTTTTTTTTCAGAATAAACAGTAAAAAATGAAAGCAGTTATTTTCATTTTTCTTTACTGTTTCCAAGAAACGTTGGATTTGCTTAGAAATTTTGTTTGTCTCTGTAATTCTGTCATGATCAGGAATGTCTATTGCACTCTCCTCAAACAAAAGGTCACAGAGTTCAAGAGGCTCCAGTTCTTCAAGCAGAAAAGTTTTATGATCCTCTAGACAAGAGATCTGTAGACTCCTCAATATGGGGTCCAATACAGGAATTCCTAATTGAAAGAAATTCTTAAGATGAGCCATACATTTCTTTATTGTGTATCAATTAAGGATATCAGAATTTGCATTATACTAATTGATAGTATATAGAAAACTTAACTAGAATGAAATAAAATGAAAAGAATAAGAAACAAGAGGCCCATGGGCTACAATGCTTACCAGAGTAACTATGGTCCTGCTGTTCTACTTGAAGATGCTTCTAAATAAATATGACTAATCATTGCTTTGCTGTTCTTGAGAAGATTTTTACAGATTTTTATGCCTATTATATAGTAAAAATTTGATCACCCATTGTGGCCCCTAACTCATTGTGTCATGATTTGAATAAATATGATTCTACACCATTTAATGAAGCCTTCACATAAATTTCATCTCTTCTGGACCTGTTTTTCTGGAAAAATACCTGCATATGAATTTCAACCTTATACACACATCCCTCAAAGAGAGTGGAAACTGAGAATTTCTAATTTTTTCTAAGTTCAAGAAGGATAACTCTGTCAAAAATCATCAGACCATGTCCAAATTCAAAGTTGACCTGTATTTTCAGGTATAATACCTGCATATGCAATTCTAACCTTTTACATACATCCCTGAAAAAGTTAGAGAGCAGAAACTGAAAATTTCTTATTTTTTCCTAAGTTCAAGAGGGATAACTCTGTCAAAAAATCATCAGACCACAATCAAATTCAAACTTGACCTGTAAATTTTGGTAAAATACCTGCATATGCAATTTCAACCTAATACCTACATCCCTACAAAAGTTAGAGAGTAGAAACTAAAAATTTCTTATTTTTTCTAAGTTCAAGAAGGGATAACTCTGTCAAAAATCATCGGACCAGGACCAAATTCAAACTTGACCTGTAATTTCTGGTAAAATACCTGCATATCTAATTTCAACCTTTTACATACATCCCTGAAAAAGTTAGAGAGTAGAAACTAAAAATTTCTTATTTTTTCTAAGTTCAAAAAGGATAACTCTGTCAAAATTCATCAGATCACGACCAAATTCAAACTAAATCTGTATTTTTCTGGTAAAATACCTGCATATGCAATATCAATCTTATACATACATCCCTACAAAAGTAAGAGAGCAGAAACTGAAAATTACTTATTTTTTCTAAGTTCAAGAGGGATAACTCTGTCAAAAATCATCGGACCATGACTAAATTCAATCTTGACCTGCGTATTCCTAGGACGTATCCATATGTCAAATTTGAGTTGAATGTGTGCAACTGTTGCCGAGATAATGAATGGAAAGTCAATGATGAAGGAATGACAGAATGACGGAACAAGGTAATACATGTACTATATATGCCCCCGGCCATTTTATGGTAGAGGGATAAAAAACACTATATGCCCTCGCCATTTGCATGGTTTGACCAAAAAAAAAATAAATGCTGTCTGATAGATTTATAATACACGAAGCGTTCCATTATAATTTCCATAGTACATCCCCCCCCCCCCCCAAACATCAGACACAAAGACAGCGGCAAGAGATTGACATGCATGTAAGACAACTGTCATTTCCAGGGCTCTAATTGGTGACTAATTTAGTCGCCATGGTGCCTAAAATTTTTGATTGGCACTTTTGACTTGGCGATCGTCGAATTCCAGAATTTTTAACAATTTAAAAATTTTTCATTTTTCTGAAGAAGCAAAAAGAAATTTAAAAGAAGACAAAATTATTGAAAATATATTTTGAAAAATTATAATAATTCAAATGGACATGTTTTTTTTTAAAACTAGTTTCTTTTTAAAACAAAACTTTATGCACAATCATAAAATTTTTATCAGAAAAGGAAGAAATTTAAAGGTGCATGATGTGTTTAAAATATTCCCAAGATCTCCTTATTTCATACTGTACAGTACAAAAAAAAAAACAGTAACTCCATTTCTCCCCATATGCAGGAATTCAATTCTTCGCCAAATTTGTTATACCGCCATGATTTCTAAATTACCACAGAATAAACTGTACAAGTAGGTTGAATAACTTTTGTTACCATACAATGAATTTTCATTCTCTTGTTTTTTTATTTTCATAATTTAAAACTAGTATAAGAAATATAAATCAAAACCTCTTTTTTCCATTTCAGCACTCTTTTCCTTCATTTTGCATATCAGGTCCTCTCTATTCAAATCTACTTCCATAACCCTGAAGAGTTCCTTGCATGCAGATTTCCCTTTCATTAAAAGTATTTTCAGCAGTTTAGATGTCTTCTGTCTTGCACTGGTAAAGTAGTTAATGTCAGAAATGTTTGTTTCGTCCAGGAAGCCATACATCTGATCCACCATTATTCTAGCATCTTCAGTGACTGGAAGTTCCTCTTTGAGAAGACAGAAGTTCTGAGTTATGCAAAAAGCATACTCCGCTGCAAATGGAGTAAAGATGTCATAAGTATGATATATCTTTGAAGAATATTTAATAATCAACTTTCTTATACAAAACTTATCAGAATTTGTTTCAAGGAACATATATGTCCTAATCCCTGCAAGAAGAACAAAAAAAGAGAAAAGAAAAACTAGATTTGGGGACAGAAGACTAGGGGTCTTCTGTAGAATTTCTTAAAATAAATATATATTTAGAAACAGACTGGAGACCAGATCAATTAATTTTGAAAGTACTTCTGGTTCTTTTTAATTCACTTCCAGCTTGACCTGAAGTGCTCAGAATGAATGAAAACTACAGATTGAACATGTAGGAATCATCCTTGAAAGTTTCTATGAAAAATACTAATTTTTTAGACTACTTCTGGATTGGATGAACTATACTTCCAGTCGAAGTATATAACTTGAAACACTCTTCAAGACTGTGTCATAAAAACCTACATTTGTTATAAAAGTAAAACACTGAAAAATTCAATATTTTAAAACTACTTGCAGTGGACAACGGAAGTGACGGCAGAAAAAAATGAACCCCATTATGCATATCTACTAATCAAGATCTATCATCCCTAAATCCTTCATGACTCTTCAAATGTTGCTGAGAAAAGGGGCATACCATATCACATTCTGATAACATGATATCATATACATGGAAATATGAAAATGTCATTAAATGTCTTGAAAAACAGTTAATATTAAAGATTCATGAATTACTTACTGAGATTATAAAGCCTTTACAAAATTTTGATCAAAAAATGAAGATTTATGACAAAGTTTCATGACTATCTTCAATCATTTTTGAGAACACCTGGACTAAATGTCATTTAAAAAACAGAAAATCGGCCTTAATCGGAAGTGATGTCGACAAAATAAATATATAATCTAGATCTTTTTAATTTAATGCTTATTACATCTAAAAGTTTCATGGCAATCAAGTGAACTGTTTCGGAGAAATCTTGTACACAAAATCAGTAAGAAAAAAAAACAATAATAGTGGAAAAGAAACCTAAGAATAACAAGAAGGTCTTCTGTTGAGACGTAAGACCTTAATGAAAACTTACAAAATGGTCACCCAGAGTTTTGATGTCTTCTGAGTTTGAACAAGACATCAAGAAGACATTTATCAGTAGTATTATTAAAAGATCTTTTGACAATTATACAACATACTTATAAATTCACTAGAAAATTTTAAAACTCTGACTCTAAATGATAAACAAGAGGCCCAAGGGCCTTAACGGTCACCTGCTGAGTATAATACAAGCATTTAGAGGATCTATAGAGTATAAAATAAACTGATAGATGAAGCTTTGTTGCCCAAAAGAGAAATGGGATGATCAGACAGGATTAATGAAATAATTAGTCTAGGGTTCAGTAACACCTCATAAATTAAGTTTTAATCTGTCCCCTATTTCTCCCTATCACAATGCAAACTAATAACAAACTAGTAGTGCTTCTGCACTATTTTTAACCCCATATAAAAAGGTTATAACCTTTCACATTGGCCTCTCTTGCTCTTTGAAGAATATTAAGAAAAGTTATTTTTGTCTCATTTTTATTTATCTAGTATTTACAAGTCTACCTAATCATTAACCTACAAAAGTACTCTTTGTATTATACAATAAAACAAGATGTGTTTGTGAAACAATGATGCCCCCGTATGGCAGCTTATGCCGAAGGTTAAAGTTTCTCAAATGCAAGTCAAAATCCAGGCCAAAAGATAAAAAGTGTTGGTACCCAAAGAAAGGTCTTGTCTCGAGGAATATACCTGTGAAATTTGAAAGACCTAGCTGCAACTGTTCAAAAGTTATGGCGAAGGTTAAAGTTTTTTAAAAGTAAGTAAAACGTCAAGGTCAAAGTGGTTGGTATCCAAAGGAAGGTCTTGTCACAGGGATTACAAATGTGAAGTATGAAAGCCCTAGCACTAACCATTCAAAAGTTATGACCAAGGTTAAAGTTTTTCAAAAGCAGGGTTGGCAAAAAACTGGGAAATACTCATATTTCCCAGGACGGTGGGAAATACTGGTAATTACCGGGAATTACTGGTATTTCCCGGGAAATACTGGGAAATAAGAAATAGGTACATATTTCATTCATATTGACATGTAGTACACCTTATTGGCTAAGATATCTACCTGGTATCACTGTTCCCGATTTAAAAAATTCTGGTTTCCAAGTAATTCATTTTATATACATGTAATCATAACACAGTATATTCATATACCAATCATGAGTGCTTGAGTCAGATGTAGTCTATAAAGGTCCATGAAATGAACACAAAGATCCCAATTGGTTTTTTATATAACTAAAAAAGGATCTAAGAAAATTCTTAAATGTAGAGTATGGTATGAATATCAAATCTGAGAAGAAGCCTTTAGTTTTACTCAAAGTAATTATCTCTCAAAACAGGAGCACAAAACTGTCCAGAGCAATTTGTTAAAACAACATGATTGTTTGTAATAACTACAGTGTTTATAGAAGGATGAAAACAAGTTTTTTTTGTTGTTCTTGGATTTATAATTAATAAACTTAATAATTTTACAAAACTGAAAAGAAACTTGAATTGAAAAACTTCAGTTTTTGTACAGCCAGGGAAATGTTTCAGAATGCTTTTGGGTATGGGACCTGGTGTAGGTGATACATTCTGAATATGTTACATAGCAATTTGAGACATATTCCATATTATTCATCTTCTGGTTTTATGTTTATTTTATTTTTAAATTTTGTATAAGATTGAATGAATTAGAGAAATATAAAACTCTAATAACTTAGTATTTCCCAGTATTACCCAATATTTCCCAGTTTAGAGAAAATTTGTAGTATTTCCCGAGACAGGAAATACCGGTATTTACCACTGGTAATTCCCACCACTGGTATTTCCCGCCCAACCCTGTTCAAAAGTAGGTCAAACTCCTATGTCAAGGTCAAAGGGTCAAAGTTGTTGGTATCCAAAGGAAGGTGATGTCACAAGGATTACATATGTGAAGTATGAAAGCACTAGCATCAACCATTCAAAAGTTATGGCCAAGGTTAAAGTTTTTCAAAGTAGGTCAAACTCCTAAGTCAAGGTCAAAGGGTCAAAGAAGTTGATATCCAGAGGAAGGTCTTGTCACAAGGAACACACATGTGAAGTTTGAAACCCCAAGCACCAACTTTTCAAAAGTCATGGCCAAGGTTAAAGTATTTCAAAAGTAGGTCAAACTCAAAGGTCAAGGTCAAAAGGTCAAAGTTGTTGGTATCCAAAGGAAGGCCTTGTCACAAAGAATACACATGTGAAGTTTGAAACCCCAAGCACCAACTATTCAGAAGTTATGGCCAAGGTTTAAGTCTCATAAAATTTTGCAAATATGGGTCAAACTCCAAAGTCAAATATGATGGTACCCAAAGAAAGGTCTTGTCACAAGGAATACACATGTGAAATATGAAAGTCATAGTTCCAAACAATCAAAAGGTTAAAGTTGACAACAGACAGACAGACAAACGGACAAACAGACAGACATGACAAAAACAATACACCCCTGGGATCTCTCAATCCTGGGGCATAAAAATTCTTGCAGAATTTTCTTATTCTATTAACCTTTCAAGTACATTATTTACAGTGATTAATTATCAAAAGTGAATGGCAAAGGGGAATAACTTCTCTCAGTAGAATACAAATTAATGGAGCCCTTGCCAGGACCAGAACACTTGACCAAATGGTAGAGATGTTCAAAAATCTGGTAAAAATACCCTTGCTAATTAAACTTTTACTCTGTGTGCCTCCGATATGCCCAGGAGCAAAGAAGATTTTCAAAGAAATAATGCATTTTTGCTACAGATTCAACACTACCCTACCCTAACACCAGAACCTATAACCCAGAGTCATGAAATTCACAAATTTTGAAGAGGTATCCTCATCATCATAACTATGCACTTAGTTGAAGATTTTCAAAGAATAAATATATTTTCATTATCAATAGAGCCCCCCCCCCCTCCCCCCTGTTTTTTTATAAAACAAGTACTTAGTTTGTTTAATACCCAGGAGCAGAGAAGAAGCTTTTTAAAGAATAAATGCATTTTCACATATAATCAATAGAGCCCCACCCTAACACCATAATCCCTGACCCAGGGGCCATGAAATTTACAATTTTGGAAGAGACCCTCTTGGTCATCATAACTATGTTCTTAATTAGTTTGTTTAATACCCAGGAGCAGAGAAGAAGATTTTCTAAGAATTAATGGATTTTCACTGCATAATCAATAGAGTCCCACCTCAAACCTGGGGCCATGGAATTCACAATTTTGGAAGAGGCACCCTTGCTCATCATAACTATGCAGTTAGTTTGTTTGCTTCATACCCAGGAGTAGAAAAAAAGATTTTAAAAAAAATAATGCGTTTTCACTATACATGTATATAATCAATAGAGGCCCACCCTAACACCAGAACCCCTGACCCACCGGCCATGATATTCAAAATTTTGGAAAAGGCAGCCTTGTTTATTGTAACCATGCATGTAGTACATCTACCAAACACCCAGAAGCAAAGAAAAAGATTTTAAAAGAAATATTGCATTTTCACTATATAATCAATAGAGACCCCCTCCCGTCACCCGCGTGGCGCAGTGGTTAGAGCATCTGCTCCAGAGTCGCATAGTAAGGAGTTGATCCTTACGTCGCAGGTCCAAATCCCACTGTGGGATGTGGAGAACCAGTCACACTGTATAAACCGAGGTCCCATGTCACAGTAGGTGCAGGCATGAAAAAGATCCCTCACTACTCAATGGCCATAAGACCCGAGTATAGGACAAAATTTGCAGCTCTCCACCGGCAAGTGGTGGCGTCTCCATATAAGTGAAAAATTCTCGAGAGGGACGTTAAACAACATACAAACAAACAAAGACCCCCCTCCCCCTTACACCAGAACCATTGACCCAGGGGCCGTAATATTCACAATTTTAGAAGAGGCACCTTTTCTCATCATAACCATGCACTTAGTTTCTTTGTTTAATAT